AAGCAAGGCATAACGGTGCACACCTGCAATTCCTGTGTTCAGAATACTGAGGTAGGATCCTGGGCTAAGCAGCAAGACCTGTCTCAGAAGGCCCAGAAAAAGAAATCCTCAGATGATGGAACTTGACAAGAACACAAGGTTTTCTAAAGCTCTTTGAAGGCAAATAACAAAACCTCCTTGACAGCTAGGACAGTGACCAGGAAAGGATGTTGTTATCTTAAATGCTGTAATTTTTTTTATTGAAATGCTGATTGCCATAGCACAACTCTGTAGTGGCAGATTCAGTTTCAGTGAGAATACTGACGGCTACACTATGATCAACCAAAGCCTCCACTACTCAGTAATCATTTATCCCAGGGATGAATGTATTCTGGTGCAGATAGGGGCCTGTAGGTGAATGCTGCCAAAATAGAAATGTCAATTGTCAGGCCTTGTGCATAACCACCGTAGAGCTATTTTTAAGCTTCTTTGCAGATTAAAGTTGTACGCCTCTTCCCTACAGTTCCGTCACATATGCTTGGCAATTTTGTTCTATGAGAATTCATTTGCACTCTACTCAAATGTCTCTGCTGGAGAAAAAATTCAAATTCTAGCATAAATTCGCAAAAAGGTACTTAGAAATCTCAAAGTTTCACATGCTGGCAGTGGACTCCAAATGAACAGTAGAAGAGACAAACCAGAAGTAATAAACTAGTGGGGATGGGGTCTTTCCTAGAGAATGCTTTATCTGGAAGGATGACGGTTTTCATCCCAAGATCCCAGAGGGAAAATAATCATCCATGGAACACTTCCTGAGGCAGAAATAATAGAGCCAGCATAGTATAGTATACTTAAAATTATCACCCCCACTAGGTTAGGAACACTCCCAGCAGTGGCTGGTTGTCTCAGAAGACCCTGAGAACCTGTGTCAGTCTATTTATTTCCAGTTTGTGTCTGGTTTTCTACTGGACAATAACCTTCCCTGTTTGGAGCAAGATTTCAGCATTCATTGGAAGAACTATACTAAGTTTTAAAGAGTGCTACCTCAGTGAAACATGCAAGAGGTGTAGAGAGATCATGAGCTCCAGGCCAGCGGCCTCCTTGTCTCCCAGTGTGGAGGTCAGAGAGGGCAATCTGTCTAGGAAGAGACCTACATGCTGTTGGTTTTTCCTCTACACCATGTTCTGAGGAGTCAAAGATCAGAAGATTTAAGACAAAATACTTCTTTTACAACAGGCATATCATGCAAAATTGTTGTTTAAATATTTATGAATGTATACCTCTTCCTATTTAGGGAGTTCTATGTACACCTAGATTTGTGCAAATATAAAGGATTCTTGTCTAATGTGAACCTCCAAACGGATGATGAAGTAATTTTTCTTTGATTAAAGTAGGAACATAGAAAGTTTTAATACTGATTTTTTTCACAAAATACTATTATATATGATATTTAAACACACAATTACATAATTTAAAAACATTGTTACATTTGACAAAGGCAAGTTATTTGACTATTATAACCAAATAAGGCTATAACAAAAATGTGAATATGAGGATTTGTTATTTCAAACTTCAGGGTTTCTTGCACATTTAAGTGTATATAAAGCATGTAAGTGAAACTAATATTCTTTAAATAAAAAATGCAAAAGCAATGGTTTTTGTGAATTTATATATAAATGTCTGTTTCACATTTGAGACATCAATCCCTTCAAACATACTTCCAGACAATTTTGTCTTTGTGAGTTTAAGATGCCAACTCAATTAAATTACTCTATCTGAATTTCTAGTTAGGAAATTACATTAAGGCAGCATGTTTTTCATAAATTGGATGAAAGACTATGTGTTGAATTATTATTGCTATTTCTGGCATTACATAAATTATCCTTAATCTTAAAGCAAAGCATTTAAAAACATTGTCCCACCAATGATATTAGTAAGGAAATTGCATTTTGGAAGACATTGTGGACAACTATTTCCTTCAATTATTTGAAAGTAATTAGAAAGTTATGTTAAAATTTCCAAACAAAAATGAAAGAGACTGACATTTTGGATGTGAAGATGCAAATGCTACAACAATCAAACTGAACTTATGGCTGTGGCTTTACTCAGACACTGATTCCATAGCAATGATGGTGCCGTCCATTATTTAATATCATGACCTTAAAAATGTCCACCCATCAAGGCAAGCAGATGCCTGCTAGGCTGTTAGAAGCATGGGCATCTGGGCACACTGAGAACTCACCACTTCCTGTGAAGAACTTACTGAGAATGTAGTGTATGTGTGCACTCCAGGTTGGATAACAATGGAGAGCAGGTTTCCTGCCATGGCCAGAGCCAGAAGAGAAGAGTCAGAAAATCTAGGAGGAAGACACAGGAGAGAGAGCAAAGGATCAGATAGTACTATATATACCAGTGACTACAGGGAAATTAGAAGTTTATAACCATTCTTCGGGGTGCTAAATGGGGAGTGCAGTGCACTTTCTAATTCTCCTGAGTGCCGGACTAAGTGTGTGATGTTATTGCAGTCTTCCTACCAGACACAGAACTGGGGAAAATGCTTGCTGAATAAATTAGAACTGTACTAACTTTCCTATTATGAAGCAGTTTCTTTATCTTAGATAAATCACTTCTGGCTGTTTCATGACTGGAAACAGAAGATGTCTGGTTGCAGTTAACTGGAAAAAGCCAGTAATATGGGTGATATACATTTGCATTTATTTTTACATCTCTCATTATTGAAAATGCTAGATAACAAAAAGACAAACATCACCCAAAGCCCAACAGGACTGTAAAATTCCCATGAAAATATACTTAACATGCTGTGCATTTTCTCATGTAACCAGCCTTTCTTCTTCAACTACCAACGGCATTGAGCTTGCTAAGTAAAAATATCTACTTTATTTGAATAGTTGGTTACTATTAACTCTGTGTTAATATTTATTGTTATAGAGGACATTAAAGTTCTACATTTGTACTGAAAATGAAGCAAAGAACTATATCATTCATATATCTGCACATCTAACCAGTTAGTAACTCATAAAAACTTTCTGCCATCTTAGGACAAAGGGTTGCATATTTCTAAGGGTTTTAACATGTATTTGTCTACTTCATTTGAAAAACACTTACACTGACTTCATTGTTGCTCATGGTGTTCTCTTGGGTTGTGGTCTTCCAATAGTCATTAGGATGCAGATATTCCCTTTGAATAGATGCAGACAGGTGAACAGCACCCTCCTTTCTCCCTTTGTGTGCATGTGGTGCTAAGAAACCTTGAGAACTTACCTTATGTATGCTAAGCACACGTTCCCAATGACCTATATCTTCTGCCCTTTGCCATTATCCTTTTAATCGGGGTGCTACTAATGTATTTGTCAGCGGTCATTATTTATTTTGTCCAAGACAAGTAAAAATGTCCCTATGTTGTTTTATGTATACAATGGCAACACTATCTCAGTAACTCAACAATACCTTGTTGAGTTTAATCTCAAATACCAGTGACCTAGGGGATAAAAAATGGGGAAATAATTTGAATCTATTTTCATTCCACATACAATGCAAGACAAGATAAATAGATATCATTATAAGCTGTATAGTTCAAAGGAAATATTAGGAAGCTATTACATAGAAGACCTTTAAAATGTCACTATATTAAGACATTTTACAAGTCTATATTTACATAATTGAGTTCATATTTATACTTATACTCTGTATCAAAACTTTCATTAACTTTATATTATACTTTTAGAAAAAAATGAAAAGATATATCCTAAGAATGTGTCATTACTTTAAAGCTCATGTTAAAGACACAGTAAGGTTAAAAGGAATATTTTAATTTATGCAACATTAAAGAAAATATTCTAATAATAAAAGTAATAAGATTTATGAAGACCAATAATCCCATAATGGCAATTTCTATAAGAAATAAGTCATTATTCCCAAGTTTTTCATCTGAAAACTGTCACCCAGCAGAAATTTAGGGTAGATATACACTATCCCCAAGGTTACTCTATGCCTTTTGCATAATCAGATCTTAAATAAACAAGTTGTGAATATGTACATCACAACTCAGTCTAGTCTAAAGGATCGTAGTCTTTCCTCAGCCCAGCTGCTGACATGAAGCTTCAGACCTATCTCCAACATCTGTAGAAAAAGATCCTCTAAGATTATTCCTTCTAGCAAAACCTTCAGTTGAGTTGCTGTACACGGCAGATGACAGGACTCTTGAGAGAAATCCTCTTAAACCTGTCCATAGTCAGACAAACAAAAATAGAAACAAAGTCCTTGACCTGGTCCCAGTACACATACTTTTAGCAACTTATAGCTAACGTAGACTTCAGGAACACCCCTGTTTTGCCCAACATCATTGAAAAAGACAGATTCCAAAACTGAAAGACAGCACCATTAAGTCGGTTCCTACATAAGATCTTCCAAAGGCTTTGTATTCAGAGACCATTCCTGATGGTGAGAATGCTAAGTTAGGATGGTAAGTAGAGAAATCTCCAAAGACAAATCAGAACCCAGAAGAAGAAAAAAAAAAAAAAAAACTAAAATGAAAAACTCTTTAGCATGTTTTCCTGAAACTTGACACATTTTTTTTCTTTTATAAAGAAAAAATGTTGTGAGATATACTTTTTAATTCATTTTCTAAGTGTGTGTGTGTACCTGCCTGCCTCATGCCACAGGACACTTGTGGAGGTCAGGGGATTCATTGCCTTCGACATGTGGGTCTCAAGGATTAAACTCAGGTCATTAGGATCAGCAGCCCCCTTAGGTGCTGAACCATCTCAGTGGCCTGGATTTCTTGAGGAATACAACAATGACCTATATTACATGCATGCATGTACTTTTCTCAAACATATTAGCAGTGTGGGTGAGGTGCTAATTAGCAATGTAAAAAGACATTTTATCTGAATGGAATCTAAGCATGGATAAGCTTAAACTGTTATCTGAACCACTAAATTGACCTTTTGACTTTAAATATGTACAGATTCTATCAAAAGATACCAAGTTCAGATTGAAGATGCAGGCAGAGGTATGTTTTTATTCTAAAACCTTCTATATACATTCATATTTTTGACAAAACTCTAGAAGGTTCTTTCAAATGAACTTTAACCTACTGAACAGAACTTATATTCATGCTCTAATGTTCACTTCAGCAGCATCTGCCTCTAAGAAGCTCATCAAAATCACTCAAACATCAAACTGCTGATCTGACAGAATGATTTATTTTCCCATTATAGGAGAGTCGTGAGTGACTTGTTCTGAGGTATGTTCCTGAACTGTGAAGGACAGCGATTAAAAACTCCTCATTTGAAGGTTTCTCTTTAGGTGTAGCATCTCATGGCTGAACAGTCTCTGCTGGTACCAGATTCCCTGTTGTATCCAACTGCATACATTTACATGTGCATGCTGATACAGGACACTCTGCATGGTCCCTGAAAAAACGTGAAGTAACAGTTAGTAATCCAAGCTTTACACACACAAATATATTTATATAATTAACTTCAAAATGCTACTGTATTAAACATATGGATTAAAACCCATAGTAAAACACTGCATTAAGAGCATCAAATTAGAAACAAGCACCAAGGTGAACTCTGAAGAAAATTAACTGAAATGAACAGTTTTGGTTTCTACACCAATACCAAAACAGTTATTAAGGGGATTGATGTAGGATGTCCTTCTGTATGTTGTGAATATGTGTCTCTCTCATATCCAAACAAAGATATGGAGAGAAAGAAGGCAGAGTTGGGGAGACGGCATGTAGCTGCCCAAGGAGTAACATACTAAGGCATCACCGGTAAGCCATGTCCATGTAATGATACACAAATGAGTAGAAATGGGTTAATTTACAAATGAGAGCTAGTCAGTAATATGCCTAAGCCCTTGGCCAAACAATTACAATTAATATTAAGCCTCTGGGTGGTTATCTGATAGGCAGAAGAGGGGACTGGCGGGCAGAGATGAACCGGTTCAGTGAGACTGGGCGAGCTGGAGAAGTTCCCACCTCCGTGGGATAGGGACGAATTAGGAGTTAAGGTTAGCACAAAGGAGACAGGCTTTTGTGTTATGTTAATGGACGTCACAGGGCCACTGGCACTGCTCAAAGTCAGTAAGTTTATTTTGAGAATCTCCATTGTAAGAGCTATTTAAATGTGCAGCGCACCCGGAAAGAACTAGTGTAGTAGATTTGTGTGTGTATGTATGTGTATGATTATATTCATACTTTAATTACATGAGAAATTGTAAGATATAAAAACTATAAGGATCCTATCCCCCAATAGGGATAAATAATGTTAAGCATTTAATCCATACAAGGATTTCTTATATAAGTATGAAAAAAAAAAAAAACTATGTAGCCCTAGCTAGACAAGAAGTTGCTATGTTCAAACTGGCCCTGAATTCATCTGATAGGAATTCACCTGCTTCTGCCTCCCAAGTGCTGGGATTAAAGACAAGTACCACCACACACCTGGCATAAGTATTACTTTTACAGTTTAACATTATATAAGATAATAATGGAACCATTGATACTACCTTTTTTAAGTCAAATCAGCGAACATGTTTTAAAAATTAATTCTCTACTGAGATACAATACAATGATATCAAGATCCTAAACTATTGAAAAGGTTATCTGCCCTATGTCCTGTAACTATAAGATTATCAAGGAAGGAAAGTGCTGTTTACCTGAACCAACTAAGCATATGTCCAGCATGTCCACCATGCCGACAATTGTGACACCAGGTAAACCAATTGTTAAACTGAGCTAACTTTTTGTCCTTGCTCAAGTCCACTTTTTCATCCGATTTGGATCCACCTATGGGAAAAGAAATTGACCACCATTAGCCAAATCACAGAAATTTAAGCTTCTTAAAGGGCAGCTATGTTAAAATATAAATCATATACCACATTGAAATAGCAATTTTAATATTAAGATCCAGTATTGAATGACAGTTTACATATACATATATAGTTAATCAACAGGCTGATTTAGAAACTCAGTGTCACATGGCTGTGCTTGAAATCATAAGCATACAAGCAGCACTAAATGGAATCAGTGGGTATATTTATATTTTTTCTGTGTGCATGTGTGTTGTGTATTTAACTAGCACACAAAATAAAAAGCAGTCATGAACTTGAGGCAGTTGGCATAACTATATCTTCATTAAAAACACAGTAGGAAAAAAGGTCTGGTATATACAGGGTTGTTTCTGGTGGCACATGCTTCAAAACCCAGTACTTGGGAGGCAGAGGTAAGCTGATCTCTGAGTTTAAGACTAGTCTAGTCTACATAGTGAATTCCAGGATAGCCAAGGCTATATATTGACACTCTCAAAAATGAAAAAAAAAAAAAAAGACTGGTGTAGACCATGATTTACGCAAGGTAGGGAAAAGGATTCTTGTAATTTCTATTTAACAGATTAAATAACGTAAATACTTTCATCCATGTTCAATAAAAAAAATTAAAAGACATGTAAAATTTGTTTATACACCTGCATCTTTGCATATACTTTTCTAATGACCCTTCTGTAGTACTTAAATTTCAGGCATGTTGGACATCTCCAAGCTTTTCTACATACATTACTTTGCTATGCCACTTTTTGTGTTCCAAAAAAATGCTGATTCTATTAATTTCGGCTACCTCAATGTTTTGTTTTAAAACAAATCAAATGAAACTATTTTTAAATACCACATAATTACAGATAAAAACTGAAAATAAATTAAGTAAAAAATGTTACCGCCAACCAATTATTACCTTTTAAAACATGTTGTATAAATAAAAAAATTTAACTATATCATTGCCAGTCACACTTTAATAGCTACAGGAATAATTTTATCGCCAGGAATATTTTCTTAAAATATAATAATTTTCTGCTTGTGATATAAGTTAAAAGGATGTATAAAAGAGGTAGCTATACTGAAATTGTTCTAAAGGACTTACAGACAAATCAACAATGTGAAAAAGAAAAAGACAGGGGGAAAATAAAGATTTTATAGAGATACTTATCTTTATACACTTTATTCACTTTAGTGATTTTGTACTTTACTGTGTGCGTATTGCCTGCTCATATGTCTGTGAACTAGGTGTGTGTGTGTGTGTGTGTGTGTGTGTGTGTGTGTGTGTGTATAGTGTCTGAGGTGGTCAAAAGGGCATTGGACAAGGTGGTAGTGGCACACACTTTTAGCACTTGGAAGGCAGAAGCAGGCAGATCTCTGTGAGTTCGAAGCCAGCCTGGTTTACAGAGCTACTTCCAGGACAGCCAGACAAAGAAACCAAAAGAGAGGGGGCGGGGGTTGGATCCTTGGGACTGGAGTTACAGAAGGTTGTGAGCCATCATAAGGTAGCTTAGAATCCAACCCAGGTCCTCTAGAACAGCATCCAGTGCTCTAAACTGCTGAGCCCCCGCACCAACTCCTTTAACTTCTAACTTACAGAGGGGACAGTCTCCAACAGGCTACTCTCTGGGACTTCTTCCCAAATAAATCTCTTTCTTAAAAGAGCTTTGGATGGCTGGGCAGTGGTAGAGCACACCTTTAATCCCGCTTTAATCCCAGCACAGGTGGATCTCTGTGAATTCAAGGCCATCCTGGTTTACAAAGTGAGTTCCAGAAAGCCTGTCTCAAAAAAAAAAAAAAAAAAAAAAAAGGGGGGGGGTTTAGGTGGAGCAGAACAGAAGTTTTGCTGAGACATTCCCTTAATGGGGAAGAGGGGGGGGGGCTGAGAAGAAAACAAGCAGAAGCAGAGCAGAAGACATGGATAACTGCTAGGACATCCCCTCAGGGAGAAGAGAGCAGAGCTCAAGAGAGGAGCAGGAGTACTACATCCTGTGGAGAGACCGTCTCCCACCGTACCCCAGCTTCAGGTATTGCCTGACTTCTCAACAAGTCAGAATACCATCCCTCCAGAGCTGCAACACTCACAGTTACACTGAAAAACCAGTCTTGAAAAAAATAAACCAACAAACAAATCCTCTGGAATCGCAGATCTTTCTAAAGATTTTGGAATGACAGAGAGAAAATTTGTGGATCACTCCTTACTCCTCGAAAGATATTAGCCCTTCTTTCTTACTCTCTATTAGTTCTACATGCTCTGTATAGACTGTGGTTCATCATGACCTCTAAAAAGCTACTGCACTCACTCAGCTTAGTGTATCAGCCTTATCATAATATGCAAATAAGTGGATAAGCCAAATATAGGAGAAATTTCTGAAATAATTATGATGTAATAAATCATAATCAGCATTTACTACTCTCCACAATAGCTTGAACTGATTTATGATCTAATATTTTTCAGTTCTAGATTTTTCAATTCTAGATTTCAAAACTAGAAAGGACAAAAAGTTAGCATATGATAAAAGATGAAATGCACTATAGCTTCCTGATCCTTATGGCCCAAAGGCTATACTAAACATAAATAATTTTACATATCTCAGTTTTCACAGATATATTTAATTTGTTTAATTTTTTTATTGTAGTAGATGCTCCAAATTGTTGCATTTTTGGTACAATTGATCAGCATAAAAACCCTTAATTCAAATTTAAACCAAACCCTATGGGGTGTGATTATGTACACCTCTAATACCAGTACTTCAAAAGTTGAGGCACGGAGTCATAAGTTCTAGGCCAGCCAGCCACGGCATCATAGTGAGACACTGTCATACATACTAAGATGTATATAGAAAAACATTATACATGAAGGAAAAAGGCACAATGGCCACTTCATTACGCCAGTGTACCAAATAGCGAAATACAATTTTTTATTTGTTTAAGACAGGGTTTCTTTATGTAGGCAGCTCTGGGTGTCCTGGAGCTGTCTATATAGACTACTCAGGACGTGAACTCACAAAGATCTGCCTGCCTGCCTCTGTTTCCTGAATGCTGTGGTTAAAGATGTCCTCCACCATGTCCAGCCCAAACCAAAATGTTTTTGATGAAGACTTTTGACGTTAGTATCATTTTCATGTTATATAACTGGAATGGTCCAAGCTACCAAGTATTCCATTATTTGCTGTTTTCAAAAAAAAAAAATTCCCATGTTTACTGTAAAGAGTAAAAAATAATAGTATTTGAGCCGGGCGATGGTGGCACACGCCTTTAATCCCAGCACTCGGGAGGCAGGCTGACAAAAGAGCAGACCCAAGACTAAAACTGAGAACGAAGGGGTCCTGGTTTCTGGGCTAATAGTTCATGTATTAGGGAGGATGAGGGAAGAAGGAATGGGATAGTATTATGAGACTATCAAAAAGCATTTATGACTAGCTGTGAGCACAGTGAATTTTAAATATCAAATCTGAAATACTAGTAAAATCCATGGTATAATTATAAAAATCACTCACTTTTAAGCCTTAGTCATCAATTGCCAGCATCTATGAGAATACTTGAGTAACCATAAACATAAGATTTTTTTACTTTCAATGTACAGACTTTATAAATTAAAGAGGTAATAAAAAAGTCAAACCAGTCAGTAAAGTGCCTTTTCTTAAAAATAATAATCATTAACATATATTTTATTAGCAACAATAATTCAATTATGTAGGAAAATGAGTTCAGAAAAACATTTGTGCAATTATGTCATACCAGGACAGCTAGAAACAGGCGTTCCCATATTAATGAGGCAAAGTGCACACCGAGGAAGGGGTTTTCGACAGCCAGGGCAACTTGTGACTTTCGATTTTGTTGGTGAGCCGCTCACTCCATATTGACTAAAGCCTCTGCCCTGATGAGGCACTGAGGAGCAGCTGTAGGAGATTGATTTGCCACAAAAATTACAACTCACAAACACCTACAAAGCAAATGAAAAGAGCAATTTAGTGCAAACCACAATGGGTTTATAAAGTCTGATACTGAGAAAATGTTTTACAATTTTATTTTACGTTGCAAAATGACCCATGTGATTACTCTCAGTCATGTCTCCACGAGCAGTTACATTATTGGTCTTCCTGTCACCTGCACTTAATTACATTTCTGCTAATGCCCTGATACCTAACACTTGTGAAATACTAGGAACTTTAGACCCTGACATTTTATAATAACCAGGGACAATGAAATGCATACAAAATACCCCAATGTGATTTAATATTAAATGTGTCCCACAGAACACTTGGTTCCTAGCTGGTATAGGGCCTAACTGGAGAAAGTGGGTCATCTGGTGTGGCCCTTCAGGTTTCTTAGCCTGGCCTCACTTCCTGACTGTGGACACACAGTGGCAGTTACATCATGGTCCTGCTCCCAAGTCCCCCCCCCCAACAGTTGTATTCCCTAGAACTGCTGTCCCTTAAATTGCTTCTTGTTAATTAGTTGCTCACAGAAACAAGAAAAGAAACTAAGATACCAACATGCAACCATTAAACCAAAAAGTCAGTGACCCTGAGCTGGGCTTCCTGACAGGCCTATGATCCAACTAATTGGATAGCTGATGCAGAGGATCACAAGTTCAAGGCCAGCCTGTGTAATTTAGTCAGAGTCTTGTGAAAGAAAGAAAGAAAGAAAGAAAGAAAGAAAGAAAGAAAGAAAGAAAGAAAGAAAGAAAGAAAGAAAGAAAGAGGAAGGGATGAAAGGAATGAGGGAAGGAGAGAGGGAGGGAGGGAAAGAAGGAAGGAAGAAAGGAAGGAAGGAAGGAAGGAAGGAAGGAAGGAAGGAAGGAAGGAAGGAAGGAAGGAAGCTAGCTCTGCAGGTATAAGACCAACTACTAAGCACATACAAGGTCCCAGGTTCCATATTTCAAGGACAAAAAACAAACAAACAAAAAATTCCCCACCACTACCTTTTGTAAGATAAAAAGGAACTAAGGCTCCTGCAATAGTACATTAAAAGTTCAAAACAAAGCTGGTGATATGGTAAAAATAATCATTCGAAGGTTCTCACTAGTTTTTATAAAAGCCCTAGAGCTCTTCCAGATTAGTAACATACGGCACAATACTATCTTACTAAAATACCTACTCCAGCTGCCACAATAATTTTCAACTTTCTTTAAAAAGAAAATAGCACCATCCAGTGCTCAGGGTGAAGATAACCAAATATTTAACATCTGAAGTAATAGTATGATATCATATCACATACCTTGTGATAATTGATCTCATATTAAAATGCCATGTATAGACATATGTTTATACTTATTCTATTTTTTAAAATCCTGTTCTATTCTATATAAATACATAAAAATAATATGCACATGGGATTACTAACACGTGAGTCAGACACTGAATTTCAGACAGTAATAGCAATTAGACTTTCCTAAGGTCATCTGGGCCTACTGTCCTTTGTTTTATCTCAAAGTTTAGCTGTACAAGGTAACTGTTAGGAAATTAAAACACTAAAATAAAATAGGAAAAAAAGTTTTGAAATAGACAAAGACATTAAGAGAAACTCAATAAAAATAAAAGAATAGGAGATAATAATTCATTATTATCTGACATATTAACATTTGATTCTCTGTAGAATATGCTACTTACCTGTGCTAATGGCTTGGAACTGGGATCCAATTTACTCCTATGAATATCAAATTCAGCTCGTTTGTGCCAAAACCTCCAAGCATCTAATAAGTTTCTGTAATTCTCAATCCAATATTGAACCCTTTCATCTTTAAGAACATCTAAAGGTGAACCCTAAAATGAAAACATAAATTTCAAATGTCCTAGTTTAAATCAGAGGATTCTGGGTAGAACATGAATATAAGTAACTCAGGAAAAATGGCCTTTTCCCCGAAACTGGCTCCTAATGAGGAAAGCCTCAGTAATCTGCCTTACACTAGACTTCACTAGTGATGCAAACATGCACCTGTATAACATACTTGACCAAGAAGTACCTTTGTAGTTTAAGGAGCAGGTGGCAGTCAATGGTGATAAGAAAACCCCTTATCTTAACTATTAAAATTATGGATTCAAAAACTCTGCTTATATCCAAACTATACATCAAAACTACTTAAAACATTTAAACTAACACTGAGCCTGGCCCTTTATATCTAATAGTGAAATGGTGCTAACGTAAGTTAGATATGAAATGCACATAGGCATTAGTGAGAAGCAAGAAGGAAGAATTTAAAGTTCTTCCCATTCAGAACATCAATTTCTGACCAGTAAGAATATCTCTAAAACAAGTATGAGTGTCAGAGTCGGCAGAAGAAAGCTGTAATGTAGTATGAATTCAGCTTTACATTCAAAGAAAAATGTAGTGAAATTTTGTTTATGTTTTAACAAATAAAGCTTGCCTGAAGATCAGAGTGCAGAGCTAAGCCACTAGAGGCCAGGGAGTGATGGATCACACCTTTAATCCCAGGATTTGGGAGACAAAGGCAAAGAGATCTCTGTTAGTTCAAGGCCACCCTGTGATATACGAGATTAAATCCTTCTAACAGAGAAACAGAGTTCACACAAAGGTGATCCCAGCACTTGGGATCCCATGCCTTTAATCCCAGCACTAGGGAGGTGGAGACAGGAGTGATCTGGCTGGGTGGAAAGAGGAATATAAGGCAGGAAAAGACAGGAGATCATTGTAATCTGAGGTTTGGTAAAGACAGAGTCTGAGGTTGCAGTCTGAGGACAGGATCACCCCTTCAGTCTGAGCACTGGTAGGAGCCAAAGGTCTCTCTAGTGCTGGCCGCACTGCTTCTCTGATCCTTCAGCTTTCACCCTATAGCTGACTCCAGGTTTTTATTAAGAATAATTAGAAAAATACTCAAGGGAAAACACTTAAAGACTAATGAAAACCAATCATGTTAACTAGTGAGTAAATAAGGAATATAAACTATAGTAAAGTTTATTTTTAAAAATACTCATGGAAGATGGCGCAGAAAGTGAATAAAAGGAAGCTCCTGTCCCTCCCAAAGTCAAAGCGAAGGCCTTGAAAGCAAAGAAGGCAGTGCTGAAAGGCATCCACAGCCACAAGAAGATCTGCACATCACCCACCTTCTTGCAGCCAAGGACCCTGGGTGGCTCCTGTTGCAGCCCAAAGACCCTCAAAAAAGCATGCCTAAGATGAACAAGCTTGAGCACTATGCCATCATCTAATTAGCCTGACCACAGAGTCAGCCATGAAGAAGACAGAGGACAACACATAAATGTTCATGTGGACGTCAAGGCCAACAAGCATCAGATCAAACAGGCTGTGAAGAAACTCTATGACACTGATGCGCCCAAAGTCAACACCCTAGTAAGGCCTGACGGAGAGAAGGCTGACGTATGTTCAGCTGGCTCCTGATTATGATGCTCTGAATGTTGCCAACAAAACTGGGTTCATCTAAACTGAGTCCAGCTAGCTAATTCTAAGTATCTACCTTTTCACCATAAATAAAATATATAAATATATATACTTGGAGATAGGAAGAAAAAATTCCCTGGCAAGTTTAATGGCCAAGGGCAGTGACAGAAAACATAAACAAACCAACATTAGTTGTCCAACTGAAGCTGGGTGTGGAAGCATACCACACCTTTAAATGTAGCTCGCAGAGATAGACAGAGGGATCCCAGCTTGACCTACAAAATGAATTCCAGGCCAGTGAGGTCTACACAATGAGAACCTGTCTCAAAACAAAAAGAGAAAAGAAAAAAAAAATGTCTAATTGAAGAGGAGGAGATAAATAATCAAAAGGAAAATAGAAAATGAACAGAAACCCCCAGGCTCTGAACACTAGAACTTTACTATATGCATAATAAGGCAAAAAAGAAATGGAGAATAAGAAATGCAGAAGAGATAAAGAATCAGAAATCATATACCTAAACATTCCAAATCTGATGAAAAAAAGTTAACAGATAGATCCAAGAAGCTCAGTAATCAATACACATAATACAAAGAATATAAGTAGGCCCATCAGTCTCATTTTCTTTTTTTCTGAAAAATCAAAGAGAAAGAGGATTTCTTGAAAGAAATCCATGGAAACATGAAACATCACATACAGGAAAGCGAGGAGAACTGCTAATTTCTTATCAGAATCAAAGGAGGCCAGATGGAAAGCATTTCTTTAAAGTGCTGCAAGAAGCACCGAGATGAACTAGATGCTTGTGTTAAATGTAAGCTGAGGCCATCACCTTTAGTACAAGAAATGCTAGAGAAAAAACAAGGTGAGGAAACAAGGTTAAACTCAGATCCACAGGAGGAACAGACACTAGGAATAGTGATAAACAAATAAAAGGTCTGTAATTCCTTTCTTATAATTTATAGAACAGACAAATTACTATCTAAAGCAAAACCAATACTGTAAGTTGGAGCTTATAATATACACAGAATAAAATATGTGATCAGTGGACAAAGGAAAAATTGCATAAGTGAAATTATACTGTCATAATACTTGTAAAATGCAAAGTTTAAGAAAAACCCAGTGCTAGATGTGAGGTAGGAAAGAAAGGATATAGGAAACATCTCAACAAAAGAGCGGCAGTTATCGGACTAGACTTTTAAAAGTCACATTATGTATTTACTGTTTGCATTTTAACATTTTACAAATTGTGCTATTACCTACCCATCTGTACGATGTAGTCACATAGCAGTAGTTCATTAAAAGATTAAAAAAAACTTCATTCCAGTGAGAAAAGTTGAATGACAGAATACCTTTTCTCACATGCGGTGGCTTGATATTTTATATAAGCTGACTCTGCATTTTGAACCCGCATTGGCAAGTTCACAGAAAAGCATAGAGAAGGGAAGAGGTAAGCACATTTTGATTTGCTTACCAAGGTAAAGCAGGCTAAAAGAGAGGTGCTCATGCCACAAAAGGTTACTGGACATGGTAGAGACACAGAATTCATGTTTCACACAAAAGTAAAGTAGAAAGCAACTTCTTCCTGGAATCTGGTTTAACCACTAGACTGTTAAAGCAATGAAAGAAATGTTGATGGACTAGTTATTCAAACTACCTTGTTGTTAATAAAGAGGGCACTGAGTGTAAGAGAGCTGAAGTGTAACTGCTCTTCTGCTGGTCAGATGAAAGGGAACCACAGTTCAGAATAGGAGAGGGAGTCCTTCATGGAAGACGGGTTGGATTCTGACCTGAGGCTCTGATTCCATCTGAGCTTGTGACCTGAGGCTCTGATTCCATCTGAGCTTATGTGAACTCAGATGCAGTCAACACCAGTATTTCTTAGACGGAAAGAAAGATAAGCTGATGAGATTAGGGCCATTAGAGACAACACAAGTCCTCAAGAGAACTAAAACCCCAAAGCGAGGAAAAGAGCATGTGTGCTTCACCTGAGGATATGCACCATGGAGAATATGGCTTGGCATTTTGTTTTTAAGACCAGTGTCAGACTGCACTAACCTGTAACATGCAGTAGCTTGCTGTCTGGACGTCTCCAGTTCTATCCACGTAGCTCTCCATCAAGTCCACTCCATCTTTAGTGAGGCCTGTAAGCAAGATTCCTTCCAAATTGCCAGCCTCTTTCATTTCATTGGTCAGCTTTTCAATGTATTTATTTAACTGAAAAATTCAAAGTGACTTTTTAAATATAATCTGTTTCACTACATATTTGATTTAGAACAATTTTATTCTTAATGAAAAACATTTTAAGACAGAAACTCTTACCAAAATCTAGATATGTACTAGGAAGTCTATATCTATTTCAAGTTTCAATACAGTTTGCAGAATCACTTTATTTTTTTGTGTGGTGTGCGGAAGCGCACGTGTGGAGGCCGGAGATTGACATCAGCCTTTCTCAATAGCTTTCCCTATTGCATTTAATTCAGGGCTCTCACAGAAGCTGGAGTTTCTGATTTGGGAGGATGGCAGAGCAGTAAGCCCCAGGGACCCTCCTGTCTCTGCCACCCAACCCTGGGATTATAACACCTAGGTATTTCCACAGGTTCTAGGGGATTCAACTCAGTTTCTTGAACTGTGCTGTCTCCCCAGTGCCCACACTCATCTTCAAAACTGACATTTCCTATGTTTATAGACGGCTAACTCTATAGAGAAGTGTCCCCTTTTCAGCAAATTCTTACCTCTCATGGTACTATGTAACAGAATCGCAGAACTGGAATTACATGTTTAAAGCCATCAATAAAAATTATTTCCTTTACATGGTCTAATTTCATCCTATTCTAAACTCCAGCCACCATTCCTCCTCATTTCCCCAAATTCTGTCATTATAATAGCACTGCTAGTCATTGGTGTGAGAAGTCCTTCTGTATATGTGTTGCTTTTATTGCTTAAGGAATAAAGCTGTTTCAGTTAGTGGCTTGGCAGAATAGAGCTACACAGGGAAAACTAAACTGAATGCTAGGAGAAAGAAGGCGGAGTCAATGAGATGCCATGTAGTTGCCAGAGCCAGAGAAGAAAGGCACAAGCTGCCAGTCAGAATCTTGCCAGTAGGTCACCAGCCTCATGGTAAAATATAAAATAATAGATATGGGTTAATTTAAAATGTAAGAGCTAGCTAGAAATACGCTTAAGCTATTGGCCAAACATTATTGCAAATAATATAGTTTCAGTGTCATTATTTTGAGTCTGGGCAGACAGGAACAAACAGGCAGCCTCCCCCAACAAGTCATCTCTGTATATTTCATTCTCAGGACCTCAGAGGCAGCAGCTAAGTGTTTAGGTACTGAAATGATTTGCATACAACATTACTAAAACCTGAGTTGAAATTTCTATCTGCTATGCCTTCTTCTAAAGGAAAAATTAAACTAAAACATCAAAACATTTTAGAAAACATTCTAAGACAAATTTAGATAGTACATGCATATAAGTGCAATGTAATAATTACCTTTTTAGATTTTGTGTAAAAATTTTCAGGCACATAATTACATGTAAAGATAAGTTTGTTAAAATACTTCATAATAAACATTATTTACCTCAAATATAAAACTGAATTGGTTCTCACCTGAGTATCACCAAGGAATTTACAAGCAAATGCCACTCTGTCACGTACTGCAACTTTGTTTTCATACTGGAAAAACAAACAATTGTACACACCATAACTTTTCTGTTTTTACAGGAACTAAATATGCACCTAATATGTAAGTTTATTTTCATATGTATTAGAAAAATATATGTGTATTCTATACATTTTCACACATATATATGTTCAGATATTGGAAGAGTCACCAATTGCCAAAGAAGTCTTTTCTGATTAAATTAAATGCATTCTTAAAACAGCTTGGATCCATGAACTTCCTTGTCAGTTGTCCCTTTTGGTGAAAGAGAAGGGATTTTACTAGAGGTAACAAATGAAAATACAGAATGCAATGTTTAAACAATTGGTTCATTTCTTTTTCTAGGCTCATTCTCTAGCACTTGCTTAAGTATCCTGTCAGCTCAGAGACAAGACTTTAAAACCTCCTGTTTAGCAAATATAGTAATAACAGTCAAAAATAAACATTTCTTGATATTAATTTGAAGGTCAGAAAGGTTCACTAGAACTTTATTTGACATTTGACACTGTCAAAATGGACACTATACTTAAATTTCCAGCATGCTAGCTCATAAGACACATGTTGTTATAGACCTTGGAGAGTGCATGTTTGATAAGAAATGCTCTAATGGGAAACAGAGGAGCACAACTGAGGAGAGAAAGTTCTTTCCATTGCTAGAAAGAAGACAGACAGCACAAAGGAAAGAGGTTTTTATGTGAAGCATGTAACTCAACAACCGAAATGACAAGGAAGAAATCACATCGGTATACAAGTGACTAAAATAACTGACAGACTAAATTAGATCAAGTTTTTTATAAGTAGTGTGATTATATAATTTGTTTTCCAAACAGAAATCATCTAAAATGACCAACATTAATTTAGATGGACACCTTAGTCAAAACTGACTGATTGATCACCAGTTATCTATACACACATAAGTACACACAAACGTATTCGCACTACTTAAACAGCAAATACAAGTATACGTTTATAGCTGTACATTTCTAGAGCTCAGTTCTTCAGGAAAGGATGAACTACAAAAAGCAAACCTGTTATAATTCAAAGGACGATCTGGGGAATCAAAACAGCTTACCAAAACTCCATCATAAGCTCCTGCTTCGCTGGTCAGAAATGCAAACATGACACAGAGATAGGGGTTGTTGAGCTGCAGTCGCAGTGTGCTGCACATCTCTCTCCAAAGAGAGTTCTTCTCGTCCGTGTACCCTGATAAAGCCATTGCTACCACATTGAGATTCAGATCTCCTGCAGGTTAAAAATGTGCAGCTAATCAAAGCAATCAGAAACTAATAACCTCTTTCCCCACAGCTGTTAAATCTCAACACAGTAATCAGATAGTGAATTTTATCCTAAAAGAAGCCCACTTAGATAAGAAAAAAATTAAGACTGTTAAATTTGGTAGAGTACAAAGAAAAAAGTCAATTCTTAAAAAACACAACGTCCATCAAAATCCCAATAAAATTCTTCAAAGACCTCAAAAGAAGGATACTCAACCTCATGTGGAAAAGCAAAAGACCCAGGATAGCCAAAAACAATCCTGTACAATAAAAGAACTTCTGGAGGCATCACAATGCCTGACTTCAAACTCTTCTACTGAGCTACAGTACTGAAAACAGCCTGGTATTGGCATAAGAACAGACAAGAGGACCAACGGAACCGAATAGAAGACCCAGATATCAATCTACACATCTTCGAACACCTGATTTTTGAAAAGGAAGGAAAAAAATATCAAATGGAAAAGAGAAAGCATATTTAACAAATGGTGCTGGCATAACGGGATATCAACATGTAGAAGAATGAAAATAGACCCATATCTATAACCATGCACAAAACTCAAGTCCAAATGGATCAAAGACCTCAACGTAAATAAAGCCAGCCACACTAAACCTTATAGAAGAGAAAGTGGGAAGTACACTTGAATGCATTGGCACAGGGAACCACTTTCTAAATATAATGCCAGCAGCACAGATACTGAGAGAAACAATAAATGGGACCTCCTGAATCTGAAAAGCTTCTGTAAAGAAAAGGACATGGTCAACAAGACAAAACGACAGCCTACAGAATGGGAAAAGATCTTCACTAACCACACATCAGAAAGAGGTCTGATCTCCAAAATATACAAAGAACTCAAGAAACTGAACTCCAAAAGAACACATAATCCAACTGAAAAAAAAAAAAAATGGACCTGAATAGAGAATGGACCTGAATAGAGAACTCTCAACAGAGGAATCTAAAATGGCTGAAAGATACTTAAGGAAATGTTCAACATCCTTAGTCATCAGAGAAATGCAAATCAAAACAACTCTGAGATTCCATCTTACACCTGTAAGAATGGCCAAGATCAAAAACAACCTAAATGCCCTTCGACCAAAGAATGGATAAGGAAAATGTGGTACATTTACACAATGGAGTACTACACAGCAAAACAAACAAACAAACAAACAAAAAACAAAAACAAAAAAAAAAACCACGACATCTTGAATTTTGTAGGAAAATGGATGGAGCTAGAAACATTATTTTGAGTGAGGTAACCCAGACATAGAAAGACAATTATCACATGTACCCACTCATAGGTGGTTTTTAAACATAAAGCAAAGAAAACCATCCTACACACTACAATCCCAGAGAATTTAGACAACAATGATTTGGTACCTAAATGGAGACAAGAGAGACCATCTTACCAAAATCACTGCCATCCTTATCAGTAAAGTCATCAATGCCATCTCAGAGTACTATACCCCACTATTACAATTTTTAAAGTTTTATTTTCCTATATCTAATTATATAATACATATACTGATATGCCAAGTATCAACAGGAGATACAGTGTTTTGATGGAGGAAGGTAATTGGTTAATTATAATAAACCAACTGCTTGGCCTCATAGCTTAGAACATAGGTGGGTGGAATAAACAGAATAGAATTCTGGGCGGAAGAGGAAGTGAGGTCAGACTCTGCTCTGCTTCCAGAGGGCTGGAGCAGAGACACCATGCTCAGCTCTCCCAGGATGGACGGAGGCTAGAATCTTCCCGGTAAGCGCATCTTGGGGTGCTTACACACATCATTAGAAATGGGCTAGTCTAGGTGCGAGAATTAGCCTGTAAGGGCTAGAGTTCATGGGCCAAGCAGTTCTTAAATGAATACAGTTTGTGTGTTGTTATTTCGGGCATGAGCTAGCAAGCGGCCGGGGTGTTGGGGACGCAGCCCCGCTGCTTCTTATTTCAACAGTGTTTCAGTATTTTTACTATACTTCAAACAATTTCTAGGCCAAAATGAGCTTTCAGAATTATCACACAACTGTACTGTTGCAAGACATACTTGCAACAAAGCATCCATTACCACTAACTTTTATAAACGGTTCTGTTTATGTTCTCTAGTGCATAGGGCGCTAGCAAGCTGCCGACCTACTCTTCAGTTCTGCATGACCACTTCACTCCAAACGAGAAAGCTACGATCTCCCTTTGTCTTTTCTCTCAAGCGTTTTCTACCTTTCAGATAGCCCTTGACTCTAACCATTCTTCCTCTTCCAATTAAACAGTACCTTCCCCCCACTTTCTGTTCTTAGCAGCTTCATTACTCACTTGTACAAAAATGCTTTCCAAGATACTTGGTGCTTCATTCTTCTGCCTACACTATTAAGTCTTTTAAAATAAAAGCATAGGAATACCAAATTTTCCAGGTACATATAATAGAAAACTATGTTTTCAGGTTGAAGCAAAATTAAATTAGAAATAGAGTCCTTTTCGGGAGGAAGAACTCAATAGCACTAATACTGAACCCAGGGTCTCACATGTGTCCTTTTTTAAATGGCACTACACACCACTCATACTATCAAGTGCAGAAGGCTTTTTCTGAAGTAAAGGTAACAATGTTCAGGCTAAAGATCTAACTTTTTTAACTTTTAGAATGAAAATAAATAAATATATTACAGTCAGTGGCATTTTTTATGGTATAAATGAACTATAATGTGTTAAAGGTAGGCCAGAGTAAGAATTTATTACTTTGAAACTCAGAAATAATTGTCTATGTGCGTTAAAGATAAATAGCTATATACACCTTAAGAATTTAAGTGAACTATACCTAATAATAATAAACAAAAAACAAAACTTGTCATGCAGTAGTGGGGCATGAGGTGGTACATGTCTTTAATCCCAGCACTCAAAAGGCAGAGGCAGACAGATCTCTGAGTTTAAGACCAGCCTGATCTATAGGGCGAGTTCCAAGACAGACGGGGCTAGACAGAGAAACCCTGTCTCAAAAAAAGTGTGTGTGTGTGGGGGGGGCAGCAGTAGGGTGGTAATTTTTGGTTTTTGACTGATTTGTTTCTCTTAAGGATCCCCTAGCAAACTGAACTTTATTCTCCCTCTCTCCCTCTCCCTCTCCCTCTCCCTCTCCCTCTCTCTCTCTCTCTCTCTCTAGCAAATTGAACCTTACCCCCACACACACACACTTCCCTCCCTTCTAAGGCTACACAGGACATATGTTTCAATCAGACTCAAGTAGAAACATTTTCCAGATCACAATATGCTTTTCATAAGAATCTATACTGGTCTAAACAAAAATATCATTTAGTATCCTATCAAAAGAGAAAGTATATACTAAAATATTGCTTACAAACAACAGCAGTTCCAACAGACATTCCTCAATGTATATGATTCTCTTTAAAATGAAAAAAGAAATACGTGTGGGAAAACATATTATTATTAAAGCATCATTTAAGAACATTTTATCTTTATTAATCTATCCTGAGGCATATATAAATGGAATGGTCTAATGCTGCTTAGCACCACACACTTTCCCTTTCAATAAAAATGTATATAGGATATTTGGCTATGTAACTAAGAACTATCCACATCCTTCCTTTAGCAGAGTCTATGAACTGCCAGTTCTCAGAACAGAACCTAATACCTTTTTCTGAAGATGCCCCTTCATTCAGGATTTGGATTGCTCGCCGAATATCCAGGTTGAACAAAGCCACTGCAGCAGCTCTTTCCCATTCTCCTTCTTGCACAAGAGAGTTCAAAAATGGTCCCACATCTACATCCGTTCCTTTCTTTACCCACCCACAAAGCTGTAGTGCTAAAATCCTCTCTTCGTTTAAGTTCTGAATATCAGTTTGTTTGTCCAAGCCACTCCAATTATGTCTGCTGCTTTCCACCATTCCTAAAAACAGAGAATGCTTTATATTATTTTATTGTTATTTTGAAATATATTAGGCAACAGTTCAGCTTTACAAAAAAAATGTCAACAGCATTTAGGATATTCAATTTCTCAGCCATAATCTTACAATAGCATAAATAAGCAGTATACTAAAATTTTAAAACATTTTACACCATAGTTGAATTACTAAGAAGCTATCGCTATAAAAAGGATGCTGAGACTCACTGAGTCATTGCTTCAGCTCTCTAAGCTAAAATAGATGCCTGTTCTCTCTCACCACTTGTTTCCTCTGTGTCCTACACAGTATTTAACAGAGATTCTCACATCTGATCTCTCACTAGAACACAAGTTCCAACAGAGTAGGGAGTTGAATTATTTTATTTGCAAGGAATGCCCTCTGCCTTGAAGCCCCAAGCACTTGAGTTCTCTTCACTTCCTCCTGCATATGTGTGGTCACACATTTCTTAGCAAGAGAGACTGGACCACCTCTGCCTGACTGCTATATGCTGTATAGCTATCCATATGCATGAAAAAATGAGATTACAGTCATCAAAGGACTTCAAGGTAAACAATAAAGAAAAAATACAATGGGAATGACCTGACTATATATCACTCTGCTATTAAGTTAGAAAACTATGTTATCTTTTTTTAAAGGAAAAAAATTACTATTTTCATAGCATTACACTGAAATCATGGTAGCTGGTTATAAAGGCAAAGTAATTTCATTTAAGCAAATAAAGACAAAACAAACAAACATGAAGTTTAGTTTATCAATTAACTGTAACACATCCCTAAGTGTTCTAGAAAGTTTTATGACCAAACTGTCAAAAATCCAAAAAGTATTTTAAGAAAAAAATAAATTATGAATGAGGAAATGTGTCTATATTGCAAACTTCCTTTATTTAGTAATTTACACATGTAACTTACAGCAATTATATACTTATGAATATATATATATATATCAATGATACTTATATAAATAACTTGGTCAACAGCAAATAGATGAACTTTTAGAATTCAATCAGCTTGCCAGGTAGTAGTGGCACAGGCCTTTAATCCCAGCACTCAGAGGCAGATGCAGGTGGATCTCTGTGAGTTTGAGGCCAGCAAGGTTTGCTAGTTCCAGGACAATCACAGCTACATGGAGAACCTGTGTGCAGGGAAGGGGAGGGGGTTCAACCCACTGACTGTAGGCTGAATTAAGTAGGGCCCAGAATTCCTACAGCTGGGGAACCACACCCTTGAATAATCACCTCCTCTGGAATTCAAACTGAATCTGTGACTTGCTTCTAGACAACAAATCATAGCAGAGAAGAATCCTTACTCAACTGACTATGAGTGACTCAATGGGCAGTTATGTAGTCTAAGCCTAAGTTAATCAGGCCAACCCTTAAAGAGAGTCTGTAAGTAAGAGACGCAGTAGGAAAGACCTCTTGGTCTTAAAGCAGTTAGAGCTGCCATCTTGTTAAGAAAGTCTGTGGGAAGCAAAGAACTGTAAACAACCTTGAGGACCCATGGGTAGGCCCCGGCCACCAACCAACCAGAAAGAAGGACATAGCTTAGTTCTACAACTACAAGGGATCCTCAGCCTCTCAGCCTCTGGTTCACTAAACCCTAAAAACGACCCCCACTCTAGTCAGTAAAGGATATGTGCATATTTCTTTCAAAAGCCAAAAGTTACCTAGATCCAATTCTTTCCCATTCCTAGGAATTTTATCTCCTACGTGTGTCTTCAACCTGTTTCTGCAGTTTTTGAACTTGACCAACAACCACATGAATTTGGAAGAATATTCGTAACTCTAGAAGGAACTACACTTAGCCACAACATTCATCTTAGCTTTTTGAGACTTTGAGTAGTACCTAAGTACCACTAAGCAGTGACCCACAGAGACAATGAGACAATCTATGTTAGAGAAGAGTAGCAAGTGATCCAAAGCTGACTACAATTGATCTGTCAAAGGATTGAAAAAATAAACATTAAAATGAGAAAAATAGCTGAATGTGGTGGTGCATGCATTTAATCCCAGCATGGTGGCCAAGACAAATGGATCTCTATGAGTTCCAGACCACCCTGGTCTATATAGTGACCAGGACAAATAGAGAGGACTACATAGAGAGACTCTGTCTCAAAACAAACAAAAATTATATAAAGAAAAATATTTAAAACTTAGTTATCACTTTTAAGTTAAACTTTATATATGTACATCTATGTATATAAATAAAAATCACTTAGTTTAAACACCTTACAAGGAATAAAAATAGGTCTAATTTACCTTTCCAATTTACCTAAAATTCATACTTTTAAATTACTTGTATGATTATCAACGTGATGGTGGTTTGTGACAAATCTAAAATATTATCTTTGTCAGTATTTTAAACTATACCTTTTTGCTTTATGGAAAAGTTGTAAGGTAAGTTAACAAATTAAATAATTAAACTGAATTAATAATTTTGTGTTGCTGTGAATTAAACCTGGCCTTGAATGTGCTAAGCAGTTCTGTTGCAGAGCTACATCACCAGCCAAAAGGGATTTTCCCTGGAGGGGTTAGCAGTGGGGGTAGAAGATAGAAAGGTAGGAGAGGGGAATGAAATGCTAAGTACCATCTATTGCTGAGCTGAGCAACGCTGAAACACAAAAATTACCTCCCCCCCCAGACAAGCTCTCATGAAGTCCAAGGCGGCCAAAGATGACCTTAAATTTCTGAGCCTTCTACCTCCAGTCCAAGAGCTGGGACTATAGAGTTGTTGGACACATTCGGTTTTAGCAGTGCTGGGAATTAAACCTGGGTTTCATGCATGCTAGACAAGAATTCTCCCAACTCCAGCCCCAAATAACTTATTTTTTAATAGAATATTTTTTTGTTGTTGTTTTTTGTTTTTTGTTTTTCGAGACAGGGTTTCTCTGTAGCTTTGGTGCCCGTCCCGGAACTAGCTCTTGTAGACCAGGCTGGCCTCGAACTCCCAGAGATCCGCCTGCCTCTGCCTCCCGAGTGCTGGGATTAAAGGCTTGCGCCACCATCGCCTGGCTTCAATAGAATATTTTTAATTTAATGAATTGAACTCTGGCAGCTCAGGGATTCTTAGTTTGGCAATTATGCTGTGGGTAATTAGGATTATCAAAAGAAATGTGATAACATTAATTTCAAATGCATCATTACACTATGATTTTAACATCTATAAAATTTTAACAATCTATGAAAATCTATGCATGATATACATATCAATACAAAAATGAAAAACTTTTCACTGAATCTCATATTGCCCATATTCATAGGATCAATACTTTATTAATGTTTGCAAAGGAAACAGCATATGCAAACATTAAAATACCAATCCAAAATAAGTCTCAAATCACCAATCAGATAATATGCATTTGTATGTCACACACATACACACACGTATGTGTATTACATATGCATATATATATGATATATGATAAAATAATACACTATAAAAAAAACTTCAGTGTTAAGAAAACAAAAAATCTTAGCTATTTTGTTCCTTTAAATCAATTTGAATAGATAAATTCTCTACATCAAAGTTAAACTTTTTCAAACTTTTATTGTGTTGGGTGAAAAGTCAGCTAGTTTTTTATTACACAACCCTCTGCCATATTAAAGACAGGAAGTGGGGTGAGAGAAATGGCTTCAGTAGTTAAGTCCTAGCTACAACCCTGATGACCCTCAGCTCCACCCCCTAGACTTCACACGGAAGGCCAGATGGGATGCATCTGAATCCCAGCACTCTTATGGGGACAAAGACAGGAACTTCATCATGGGCTGGTAGACTGGAGCATGACGTACATAAACAGTAAGAAAGACCCTCCCGCAGCAAGGTGGATGGCTAGAAGTGACTTCTAACTAAGCTAAAAGTTGTCTTCTGACCTCCACATGTGTGCAGCAGCATGTGCATGCCCACACTCACACACGAACATGGCTTTTCCAGTCAACATTTAAGCAGGCTTAATTTTATGTTGAAAGAGAAAAAAAGCAACAGCCTTCCCTCTATTCAACGTTAGCTCCTGCCACTAGTTATCATTTTATCCTTCCTCACACAGCCTGTTTTTAATTATTTATAGTTGATGATTTCTCTTCATACTGTTCAGCTGTTTCAGTCGACTGAAAGTGATTTCTTTCCCTTGTCTACATGAATATATGGTTTCATTTTTTTCCTACCCCACCACTGTTCCCCCTTTAAGGCATTTCTTTCCGTTCTTACAACAATTTCATCTATTCCATAGAATATCAGGATTTCTAATATATTGCTTGCTCTCTGGTTATATTCCTCCTATATTCTGAACTCTTAGCCCATTGTCCAATACCATACATTTTACTGACATAGTACTTGATTCTTTGTGGCAGCAGTTTTTTTTCCTTTTTCTTTTCTTTTTTTTGGCTTTGATCCCTCAGAAAAACACTCTTTAAAAAAAAAAGAGAAAGAAAAGAAACTATCCTTTTTCACTATATATACCAATTCAAGTTCCCATTCCCTCCCTACCCTCCACTCCCACCACATACTCTCCCACCCCACCCCCATCCAATCATCAGAGAGAGCATGGTACACTACCCTATAGAAGGTCCAAGGCCCTCCCTACTATATCCAGGCCATGCAATGCATATATCCAAAGAGAATAGATTCCCAAAAAGCCAGTAGAAGCAGTAGAGATAAATCCTGGTGCCACTGCCAGTGGCCCCTCAGTCTGCCCCAGCCATGCAATTGTCAAGCACATTCAGAGGGACCACTTTGGTCTCATGCTTGGTCCTTCCCAATCCATCTGGAGTTGGTGAGCTCCCACTAGTTCAGGTAGACTGTTTCAGTAAGTGAACCCATCATGGTCTTGACCTCTGCTCACATTGTCATTCCTCCCACTCTTCAACTGAACCTCAGGAACTCAGTCCAGTTCTCTGATGCAGGTCTCATGGCAGCAATTTTTAAATTCACAAACCATGGTATATTCGGGTTCATAAATGGTGATATATATTATATATTTTTTACTTCTGTTAAAATAAGTAGAGCTTTCCATTCATCTTTCAGCACTGAGCATCAAATAATTTCAAAGTCCTCAGAGAGAAAACCCACTAGAACAAATGCAGCAGCTTAACTGTGCATCCATGCTAGTAGCATGGTGAAGCAAGTCCTATAAAACGATGGCTTTGACTAAATTCTTCTTCTAGCATCTTAACTGGGTGGAGTACAAACAGACTAATAAAGCATGGAGGTTGAACCCTAAGAGACAATATAACATTATCATAATTAACTCCAACAAAAAGAGTAAGAACACTGCTTAAAGCAACCAGTCTGAAAGTAGGTTTTTGTTTTTGGAAGGAGGGTGTCTTTATTCATAAATAGTTTATCTATTTAAATCTTACATTACTTTATTCATTAACCGATTCCTTCACTTACTCATCAAGAACTTTCAGGTATTCTTCAAGTTAGGCCATACTTCATGTCATAGCATAGTCCTTGTGAAAGTATTTGGGAAGCAAAATCAAAGGGATCTTCTTCAGTTAAGAGAGCTTTTAATTTAGTCTTTAAAACACAAGATGCTGTGATAAAATCCAAACTAACAATCAGCATCTCATAAATGCACTTGTATACTATCTCCCCTAAAGTGGGTCTTCAAATAAATAGCATAGAATAATAAATGAAGATTTAAGAAAGGTCTATGTTACATCAAAGAATCAACATTCCTTCCACAAAACATCTGGATATAATAAATACACTCAATATACCTAACAAGTCACTAAAATATCTGATCAGAAAGCCAAGAGAGAGTTATATAAAGTATTTATTTATGTACACAGTCCTGAGATAATCTTAATTTTAATCAACTAGGAATCAAGTGTCCAAAAGTTATAAATGTATTTGAAAATATAAAGTGGAATTTTCTTACCCAAAGATGATTTTACTATTGATTTAATTCCTGCATAAACCAACGATCCTTTGTTGCCTGGAGATTTTTGATCCATATCTTCTGTATACTGCTTCATAAGTATTTAAATGCATAGGAAATACTGGTAATTATGCACAATAAAATATCTCAAAGTTAAAATTTAATTAAGAGCAAATCCATAGTAAGAATCTATACGATTAAGACAGTTCCACTTTACTGACCACCTTTCCCGCACCCAGTCTACAAACTAAAACTTTTAACAGTTTTAAATGATTTCACCTCGGAATTTTAGACTATATAATTTGTATTTACATACAAAACATTCAGTATGTTTACCCAATTTACCTAAATAGTTAGCAAGACAAAGGATATAGTGCAGAGTATACCAGAGTGACTTGAGTTGTGGGTCTTCATTTCCAGCTAAAATGTGGTTTCTCCATACCTGTTCTGTATCAAGTCCATACCTTGATAAAGCCCGGAGGCGCATTTTTGTTGCTATATCTTTTTCTAAGGAATTGTCACTTTCTTCTTCTGCACATTCATACAAATGACGACCACAAGCCCACATTAAAGAGGTAATTGGGCTCCAGGCAAGAGATATCCTTTCAAAAACAGTGAAGTCAGACATTGTTCGGTTGGGAGTTACAACTATCATTCGATTTTGACTTGTTGGATGCCATGCAAAGGAAGCAATGTAATTGTCACAAGGTTGCACACTTCTTTCAATTATTGTGGGTTCAGTTTCATCCCCAATGGGCGTAGGTGTGTGCTGCATATCATACAGCCTAATAATATTACTATCCCTTGTTAAAGTAGCAAGCAGGCCTGTCCTAGTTGGACACCATGCTACTTTTGTCAAGGGCTTTGGCTGCTCAGTCAAAGTCAAAACTGGCTTCTCAAATTTTCTAAGATCCCATATTGCAACCTGACCTTCATAGAAGGAAGCAACACGATCATGGAAGTATGGGTCTACTGTCACTCCTTGAACAGCTTTTGTATTTACAAACATCTTCTGGCTTGTGTTCCGAAGATCAAATATGGCTAGATTACGATGCATGCCAGCAAGGAGAAGTTTCTGGTCTCGTGGAAGCCAACAAAGAGATAGACAAGCATCATTTTGTCCTAACTCATACAGTGGTTTTGTTACTAATAGTGTTGTTTCAGCTTCACCTGCTGAAAGTCTCACTTTTTCCATGGGAACAATATCAGGAGTATATTTGCTGCAGATATCCCATATCAGAACTGAAAAGTCAGCTCTGTGCTTGTCCAGACCAGCAGCAAGCCAGTTACTATCCAGTGGATTCCATGCAAGGGTATTGCATTGTCGAGCATGTTTTGGGACAAATTCTTTTCCTATCAAATCTTTAAACTTAGAATTATGATCTTGACCAAGACTTGTAAGTACAACTCGACCATTTGCTTGTCCAACTGCTAGGAGACATTCAGGATCATAATTGAGATACCATGCAACACATTTCATATAGGGGGTATCTGAATTTATCGACAGTAATGTAGCTGCAGAGTCTTCAGACAAACGTAATGATCCAGCTTTAAGTTCTGAATTCACAGCCGACTCCACATGATAAAGGCTCAGTTCTGAGTCACATACAACAAATCTATCAACCTGGTGTGGTGCCCACAAAATATCAGGCTTGGTACCGCTCATGTTTATTGATGGGCGCAAAAAGTCCAGTCAGGTCCATTCACTGAAAGTGTTGAAAAATAAGAGGTTTAAAATATCAACAAATCACATTCCTTAAGTTGAATTCTCTACACAAAAACCTTCTTTTTTCTCTATATTTGTATTTTCTCTCCACCTACAGATTTAAGAAAATATTCACTTGATTAAAAATGAAGAAAGAAGAGTAACCACTTCCTACAATAAAGTGATCTAGTAGGAATCTGACAACCCTATCCCAGCTTTATTTCCCATGATAAATTATCTTAATTGTACAGCTACTGGCACCTTCAATGTAACCTCGGGTTATAACAACTTCACTATGATGAGTAAATTAGTAAGTACCATACCAATGAAGGGGGGAAACTTAAAAGTAGCATGAGTCACCCTCCTAAGCTATGGTTACAGCAGCACGCAGTGGAACACTCTGCAGTGGTAAATGTTCTGTATTTATGCAAACAAGGGAATTTCTAACCGCAGAGAGCTACTGAGTGCTAGTTACTTCACTTTTGACTGATATATGTGTATGACATAATGAAGCATACAAATTTGAAGTATAATATGCTAGGACATTGGGTTTTCTTTTCAACTTTCAACAATAAGAATCAGGCTTCTGTAGCAGAGTAAAAACTGGAATGTACAAGAGTTATAAAACTTATCCTATATTTGCTATAATTAGTTTTAGGATGACTTTCTCACCCTTCAATAATAAAGTTATTTAGAGTAGTACTTTCCCAAATTTCACTCATTCGTAGACCACTTATAATGCTACTGAATATTTCTCTTTAAACTGACTCTTTTTTAAAACCAGAACATCAACTTTTAAGTTCATCAGTAGTTTCAGCAACCATGCGTATAGTGTATAATTATATTTTAATATATGCTAAAATAAATATATTATTTTAAAAAGTGTTTGTGTTTTGCCTAAAAATTTCTTGTTTATGATTAGCAGTACACATATGACACTTACTCTGGAAAAATGAGTTATGTGACCATTAGAGGCTCTTAGTTTTTAGTTTTATAAGGTTTGGTAATTTTTGACTAAAAATGGAATTGTTTAAAAAATCTTATTTGAATAATAAAGACTAGATGCAAATATTAAGTATTTCTAAGTGGCTGGCAAGAATTAAAAGGCTGGATGTAAAATTAACATAATATTTATAAATTTCACTACAATCATATTTTACAACCATGTTTCACCTATATTTACTCAAAATATCAGGTATAGACTAATATACATTCCTAATAAAGAAATTGATAAGTATTCAACTCACACATAATTGCTTTACCTCCTACTCTTGTGAATATTTTTAGATATGAATTCCCAATTTAGAATTTTGTAGACTCAAAAATATATTTAACTTTTAAAAACTTTTTAAAAAAATAAAGTGTACAAATTAAATTCGGGGGATCTTAAAAAAATAAAAGGACAAGAATTTAAGAAGTGTTAGAAGGAAGGAATATATTTGGGAAGTGTAGGAAGTATATATGGTGAAAATACATTGTACATATGAAATTCGATAAATATTTAACTTTTAAAAGGATTTTATTTTTAATTATGTGTATATATGCATGTCTGAGTGTTTATGCACATGTGTACAGTGCCTTTAAACAGTGCCAGAAAATGGTTTTGGACCTCCTAAAGATGGGAGTGATGCGCTACTGTGAGCCACCTGCTGTGGGTTCTAGAAAATGAACTCAGGTCCGCTGCAGGAGCAGAGTGCTCTTAACCGCTAAGCCATCTCTCCCACTCTCATATAATTCAGATGATTAGCAAAAACATTTATGAATTCTCATACTGGATTTATTTTCTTCTTTAACACTTCTGGAGCTCAGGATCAGTCACTTCAACTATATCCTTAATATCACTTTCACTCATTCCCCTTTCCAGCTTATTGTTTGCTTTTCCTTATTCCTAGATTATTCCAATTATTTACCTCTTTCCCGCATCAACTCAAGGTACTACATGAAGACATTCTCAAGGTACTATAAACTGCACGAGAAATCAAGGTACATATGACTTCCAGACTGTGATACTAGCTCAACAATTCTCTTAATCATCTTTCCGCTATGGTCCTTTAAAAGTCAGAATAACCTTTGTGTTGTTCATAGGGGTGAGCATGCATGCGGTTTACGTGTTCATGTGTACAGGTGCACATGCAGGGCATGGGTCATGTTAAGATGTCTTCTATCAGGGCACTTGCTGCTCTTCCAGAGGACCCAGGTTCCATTCCCAGCACTCATGTGGTGGCTAACAACTACCTGTAACTCCATTTCCCACCCTCTTATGGCCTCCACAGATAAAGACATGCCCACAGATACAACCACACACATACAAGATGTCTTCTATCACTCTCTACCTCATTTTAAATATGATATTTCTAGCAATTCTTTGGGAATTTCATATGTACAATGCATTTGACCATATTCAAAGACCCTACTCTTCCCAACTACATTTCTTCCTTCTCACTCCTTCCAAATTCTTGGCCTTTTCGTTTTCAAGATAACCCACCCCATCCAATTCACTCACTTTATTGTTTGACCCAAGGTCTCTTACTGAATTTGGAGCTCACTTATTTGGCAACACTAGTTGGCCAGCAAACCCAAGTAACCCTTCTGTGTTCTCCGTGGCCTCTTCACAGAGATTCTTTTATTTATTTATTTATTTATTTATTTATTTATTTATTTATTTATTTAGGTTTTTCTATGACAGGGTTTCTCTATGACTTTGGAGCCTGTCCTGGAACTAGCTCTCACACACGAGGCTGACCTTGAACTCACAGGGGTCTGCTAGCCTCTGCAGGCAGGAATGTGCCACCACCGCCAGGCCTTCACAGAGATTCTAAACTAATGTCTTCATGAGTATTTAGCAAGCACTATAATGAGTCATCTCTCCATACCAGAATAATCATTGTATAACACGAGCAACAAGCTTACACAATTAATTTGCCAATTAACTGTAAATACCTTCAGCCTCTACCTATTGCTCTAACCTTTTGGTATACTCTACTTGTGGTGCTTTAGCTACATTTTTTTTCTTTTCAGTTCCTGGAATCCACCCCAATTTCCAATCACCTTATCTTTGCAAATGATGTTCTTCCTGGCTATAACATTCCCCCTCACTCTTTTAATCAATCACATTCTCCTGTCCAGAAATATAGTCTCACTGAATAGTATTCTTTCTCTTTAATCCATTTGAGTCTCTTCTACTAGATTATGTCTTCCAAGACAAAAGATGAAATATCTTGTTTTCCATTGTACTTCTAGTACAAAGCATGAAACTGTCACTTAGTAGATGGTGAATATTTGTCTAATGAATGCATGTGTCCAGGGGCCCCTGAACATTTCTCACAACAGTTATTTCAACGTTTTGCCTATTTCCTCATGCTTCCATCCTTTCCTGCCCCAGAAGAATCAACATTTCTTCTTCGTAGTGGAACTTGGCTCTAAGCCAAGAACAAAGCTCTCACTGTTATAATTGGTTCTAGTGACAGAAGACATCCTAAAAAAACATTACTTTAATACCTTGTATTCTATTATTTTCTGTAACTGTTTACTTAGCACCTTGTATATTCTGGGCACTGTTTTCCAACTTTGGGAATACAGTGTTAAAGAGGGACAGATAAATTCTATTCTAACAAAACTGCATTCTAATAACAGACCCACCCAATAGAAACGAATTTGAAAACCAAAAAATGAGAAGGAAGCAAATCATATAATAGGAACCAGCTAAGACAGCAAAAAGAAAAACTAGATGCCACCTAGAGCAATGGTTCTCGGCCTGTGGTTTGTGACCCCTTTGGAAAGCTCTACCTCCAAAGAATATTTACATTACAATTCATAACAGCAGCAAAATCACAGTTATGAGGTAACAACGTACAATGTTATAGTTGTGGGTCACCACAATATGAGGAACTATATTAAAGGGTCACAACATTAGGAAGGTTGAGAACCACTGCCCTAGATAAGAGATAATAGGCATACCTATGTTCTCACAAGTAGAAGCAGCTCCTCAATAAATATTCACATGTCTTGAGATTCTTGCTATGTCCCTGGGGAAAAAGAAAAAAAGAACTCAATACTTATATAAACATACTTTAACCTAGGATTCCATACTATAATTTTATTCTTGATACAAAATATATATGGTAAAAAAAAACTTAGATTACATACAGGAAAATACAGTTCAAAAATTCAAGTGTTACTGTAAACTAGGTATACTATAATCTTGGCATTTGAGAGGTGGAGGTGAGAGGATCAAGAGTTCAGAGTCGACCTCAGACACAGGAAATATATCTCAAAAACAATTAAGATCCCTGTTTATGATGGTTACTTTGAACGCCAATTTAACTAATCCAGAATCACCTGATAAGAGAATCTCAATGCGGGATTGTGTAGATTAGATTAACCTGTGGGCATGTCTAAAGGGGATTTATTATCTTGATTATATTAATTGAAGTAGGAAGACCAATACAATACAGTGTGGGTGGTACCATTCCAGCAGACGGATCCTGAACTGTCAGAGAGCAGACAAAGCTAGCTAAGAAGTGACCATATGCAATTAGTTTACTGACTTCAGCTCCTGACTACAAAAGTGAAGTTACTAGCTGCTGCAAGTCCCTGCCACCTTGACTTCCCCAAAATGAAGGACGGTAACCTGGAAAGTTAGCTAAAATGGACTCTTCTCCCTGAGGGTTCTTCTGTCAAAGTCTTTTATCACAGCAGCAGAACTGAAACGAAGACACTGTCATTTTAACGCTGATTTACACGATTCTCAGTGAAGAACCAATCACCATTCTTATGCTATGCTCGTAAAATACTGTTACCATCCACAAAATTATGACAGGAACACATACAAAAACCACAGACCTTTCGAGTTAGAAAGGAACTAATGAATCTTTTTCATTTTGAGAGGGGATGGAGTCAAGAACAGATGGCTTGGTTCCTGTGCCAGGTCTGTCAGCTCCCAGCTTAGACAAGTTCTGTAGAAAGGATCAGCTACCCAGGGGGAAATGAAAATGGCAAGGAGAGACAATGAGCTGCTGGCCAGGGAGGCTAGCAAAGATGGCCCTGGAAAAGGCAACGTCTATAACCACCCTGGGGAGATCTAACACACAATACAGATGGTGATTGCTCACTAACATACATACTATGAATCTGGAAGAGAGAAAAGTAAATAAATAAGGACTCAGAAGTTCTTCAGTCACTTCCTAGCTTAGACCCCTACCAGTCCCTTAATAGTGGGTAAAATCTACCTTATTTCCTCCTCACAAAGTTCTGCCTTCCAAGACTAAGGGCTCTCTGCTTCACACAGATGATGGTATCTCTACTATTCTTCAGACAGCCCTGGGACTGAATGCTTTCAGATGCTGGAGACACTGCAAAATTCGTGAGGAGGTAGGAGTTTGCAATAATTTAGGTCCTTATCTTCAGACTGAGAAAGGGTTCGTTTTTCTTCAGTGGTTTCTCAGCAAATGAGAACCATGGAGAGTCTCTGTTCACCACTACAACATCTAGAACACTATCCAAAAGAAATACAAGCCATGGCCTGTAATTCTCTAGCAGGCACAGTTCAAAAGTAATAAATGAAATTTAGAGTATCTTTTAACTTAACCTATCCAAAAATGTTTCAAAATATACAACCAACGTAAAGAAATTACTAAACTTTTTACTTTTTATTTTATTAAATCATGGGAATCTAGTCTACACTTAAAACGTGTCTCAACCCCACGTGGCTACAGGACACAAGTTCAATACACTACGATAACGCAAGAACATACAAATCGCTGTTGTGGGGGTTTGTCTTCTTTCTTACCGAGCTACATCGCTGTACGATACAGTTTCGGGAAACTTGCAGCACTACCGTCCCCAAGACGATGCATTGCACACATCTAAATTTTCGTTAAGATAATAGTTATTCAAAACAGTCGACAAGAGTAGTCATTTGCTGAGCAATTCAGCAAGGCAGAGGCTTCATTCCTCTCAAGGAATTTGCATTATTCGTGTAGGTAGCGAGCAGAGAACAGAGCTCACAGGGTGACAGGCCCTTTAATAAGAATTTAATAGGGTACAACTGGAACTCATCATGTTGTTATTCCGGGTACACCAGGCATCTGATCGCGACTCCCACGTCCCAGACACCCGGCTGAGCCGCTCGGCACAGGGGGGACGCGGTTCCACACGCGCGCCGCGGGCGCACAGAGGACGGCTGCCACGCGGTCGCGGGACGCCCGAAGGCTCCACACGAGGCCGCCGGGCGCCGGACCGTCCCACTGAGCAGAACGCCGCCCGCCCGCGAGGCTCTGAAGCAGCGGCCGCAGCGGCCACCCCGGGGCCCGCCCGCGCCGAGACCCGCTGCGGGCCGCACTCACTGACCTGAGGAGGTGGCGCGCCGCCACACAGCCGTTTCCGGCCTGACGCCGCCCCGCCCGCCGCGGGAGCCGCGCGCGGGTAAGATGGCCGCCGAAGCGCGGGCCGTGACCGGGGCCACCCGCGGGGCCCACGACCGAACCGCCGCCGCGGCCTGGGAAGCGGACGCCACGCCCCGAGACACGCCCTCCCCGGCCCGGCACCGCCCCGGGGCGGGGCCACCGCTCGGAGTCACCGCCCCCTCTCGAGCGCTCCGCCCAGGGGAGACCCCGCCCTCGCCTGTGGGCGGAACCACAACCTAGAATTCCCGCCTTCCTCCCTCGCGGCTCCGCCCAGCGCAGGCCCTGCAGCCGTGAAAACTATCCTGGAGTTTGCTTTTAGGAGCCAGATAGCACGATCAAACCAGCGCACATGCTTTGACATATGTGGTCCATTTTAATTAACACTGAAAAATAATGACGGGCGATGTAGTAGAAAGTTAAGGATTTGGGGCTCATGATTGCTCCCTTTGGTTATCAGGAACACCAAGGACCTTGGTTATCAGGAACACCAAACCACCCTTTGTTCCAGTGTACCTCCTAATCTGCCCTCCGGGTTATCAAACCTGTCAGAGCTTCCCTTCCAGTAACCCTTACCTAGTAGCCTAATACTACACAACGCCTGCATCAATCACTTCATTTCATCTTTTCATGTAGGTAATTATATTGACAAATCACTACAAGAAGGGTGATTACAATACAGAGAGCAAGAGAGACAGAGTCACATACATATTATAGTCCTATTGACCCTCCGTATCCTCCAGCTCTGCCCCTGCAGGTTCAACCACCATAGATCAAACTACGTTCTTAAAATTGGGCATGGTGGAGCACATCTACAATATCAACACCCCAGAGGTTGAAGCAGAAGCGTCAATAGTTCAAAGCCAGACTCTGCACTATAGTGAGCTTGAGCTAGATTGGTTGTGTGAAAATAACTCTGTCTGTCTCTCTGTCTCTCTTTATATCTCTTTGTCTCATCTGTCTGTCTACCTCTCCATATGTGTGTATGTGTATGTCTGTATTAAACTTGTACACTATTATAAGTAATTTAGAGATAATTTAAGGTACAGAGAATGTATGTAGGTTATTTGCAAATATCACACCAAGAGCAAACATTTGAGCACATGTAGATTTTGCTATCACTGGAGAGTACAAAGGGACAACTATTTTTGTTTAACTATTATATTGTTGTTGTTACTGTGCCTGATTTATAAATTAGATTTTATATAGCTATATTTGAATAGGAAAATATAGTATGTTTAAGTTTGATACCAGCCACAGTCTGAAGTGTCTACTGATGGACTTTATACCCATATATATTAATTAAGGGGAAACTAATATATGAATAAACCAAGGAGGTGAAGAGAGCGTGAGAAGCCCTGTTAGAAACGCACTGGAAATTAGTTTAATGCCTCTGCACAGGCTTTTTCAGAAAGGCAGCTGTGGAGTCCCTGGTGATCTTAACTAGGGTAGTGATATGACCAGTTGTTCCACAGAGAGATCTGGAGAGGTAGAATAGCCAAGTAAAAGATAATGAAGACTCAAATTACTAGTGCTGAGACAAGCAGGCCACTTGTGACGTCATTCAGAAGGTGAGACTAACCAAGTGAACAATGAACATTTTAGGGAGTGGCTCCTGAGTGCCATTAGGATCCTTTCAGTTGCCTGACAGCCTATGCTTGTGTCCTTGCGCTTGGTTGTGGGCATGGTGGTAGCGATTGGTCATTTTGGTAAGAGGATCAGTTTGAGGTGAGTAATATATTACATTCTTGACTCCTGCTATGTAAAGAACATGAAATATAATCAAGGGAATAATATATCAAAAGATCCATCACTTTAGCTTGACCCTATCCCTCTTCTAGTTGGTTTTGGCCTAGGATATATAAGTAAGTAAGACCAACCTTACATCTTTTAAAAACGGCTGTATTGGCACCTGCCCTAGTTGAGGCAAAGTCCATCAATAAATGACTTTACTTCTTATTTCAGAAAAATAGAATCAAAACTGCTAGGTAGGAATCCTAAAGCCCCTCCCCCTGTTGCTTCCTGCCCCAGCACCCCTTCTTCAATTACTGCCACCCTTGCAGCTGACATATGGAGCAAGTGCATGCTTCTGCTCTTGTGAGACCTGAAAATATCTGCTTCGGTTTTTTCCTATGCTTGGGTATCTTTAGCCTCACCATTTCGGCTGGTTACCACATTTACATGCTCAGACCACTCTGTTTTCCTCAAAGGAATTTTTGCTCTGTGGAATCCCACTTTCTTGTGTCTTCTAGAGTTTTCTCCACTGTCTTTCATATCTACCATGTTGTTTGACAGAGGTAACAATGATATTCACTCTGCCATTCCAGTGACCAAAGCTTCACCCTTGCACGTCATACACAGTTGACTGCTTCTCTCTCTTGAAATACTTTCTTCACTTGGCTCCCCATCATTAGCCTGGTCTTGTTTGTTTTGACCCCTGTGAGTTGGTCCTTTCTTTGACCAGATAAATGTAATGTTGCCTCTGTGCTCTGCCCTGGCTTGTCTCCCCAGCTGGAAAGTTCCTTAACTACAACATTGCATGAATTAGCCTCTGCTTAATTCAAAGCTGGTCTCTTATCCAAGACTGTGTAAGACTTAATGTATAAGTCAATGTCTTACTTACCTGTAGTCATCCTCCATTAAGTTTTACAGTCCAACACGTTCAGTTTTCATTGTCTTTTCCTCCCTTCCTCTTCCTGTCTCGTATTTCTTCCTTTCTTTTTTCATTTTTTAAATTCTTTTTTTTTTGAGACAGGGTCTTGTACTTACCAGGTTGACCACAAACTCCTGATCTCTACCCTCTCTTCTGAGAGCTAAGACTACAGTTGTGAACTACCACATTTGGACCATCTGCCACTTAATGAGGGCATATCTGCCTCCAAGTTTTAGCAAGACATTTGGTGACACAGTTTCTTTTTCTTTCTTTCTTTTTTTTTAATATCCTTTGGCCTCCCTTTCAGCTGGATGCTGTCAAAAAGTTGCAAGTGAACATTAAGTGTGTTCCTTATAAGAGAATCATCTCTCATCCACTGCCTGGCCAATAGTATAAATCAAACAACAGGTATGAATCAGAAAGGAAGCTACATGCTAAGGAAGGCAAATGTAGCTCACTAGACTAAGTCAGCGTAATTTTGGAAAGCTGAAGGCATTTAAATGGGTTTTGTGGGCAGCATGTTACAAACTGCTTAATGACTCAACATAGACCAGCTGCATACTTGGAACTGGGGCAATGTGCATGACTTTCAGAAGCGGTTAACGGACTTCGACTATGTTGGGCTATGCAAAGGATGCAGACAGTACCGTATATACCCTAGTATTCTGCAGCTTATATGTGTATTTCTGCTCTTGATTAAGGTATTATGTTTGTGAAGCTCATTTAAAAATGTAATGTATAATTAATAAATATAAGTTAATAGATAGTCATCTATAATACTCAAGCTTGTAGTCATGTTTGTTTGATTTGATTTTCTAGATATATAAAGATATATTTCAGTTACATAGGTGTTCTTCAAATCTTTCAGAGACCTTCACAATGTGGCATTTAAAATGTTTTAAGAACTTAAGACTTTTCATGACAGTGAGACACATCTGCTCCTGGCAGCGCCAATAACATCAAGAGGAAGATGGACATTGAAGAGGCTCCTTATGGAGTTTGTTAGCCATTTGGGCAAGAAACTTCTCATACCTGGACTGTGTGATATACAGGACATGCAGGACCCACAGAGAAATGACTGCTGAACTTGCCTAAAGGTGAGACCATCCTTCAAGGTTACTTCTTCATCAAAGAGTCTGCCAGACATTCTGCAGGACACAAAAGAAAGTTTGTCAGTTGACTGACAAACTGCCAGTATAGGTGGGGTGGAAATGTCTTTGAAATTTCCTGCTTCATGGAAAAGTCTGCTGGACACTGTGGACCTGTAGGCTGAAGATGGATGCCCCAACACTACAGAAGAACTTTGGGTGGCTGTCCAGGCAGCAAGATGTCTCTGTCAATTTTAGAGTTTTGAAAGTTGCTTATAATGCACTTCCTGTTTATTTAGGTAATATTATAATCCTTCTTGGGTCTTGGATGGAGTTGAAGAATAGATAATAATAATATACTTTTCCTTAGTTATGATAAAAGATAAAATAGATATATCTGTAATTCTTACTTGATGACCGTTTTATATAATTTTACTATGTTAAAGTTAAAATATTCCTTTTTATTTAAACAGAAAAGGGGAGACGATATGGGATTTCCCTCTGTATGCTGTGATTACCATTGATAAATAAAGGAACTGCTTTGAGCCTATAACAGAGCTAGGTGGAAAAAACTAAGCTGAATGCTGGGAGAGAGAAGGCAGAATCAGGAGAAGCCATGTAGCCCAGCTGGAGACAGACACCAGAACTTTAGCCAGTAAGCCATGGCCATGAGGCAATACACAGATTAACAGAAATGAGTTAAATTAATATGTAAGGGTTAGCCAATAAAAAGCTAGAGCTAATGTGCCAAGCAGTGATCTAATTAATACAGTTTCTGTGTGATTATTTTAGGGCTAAGTGGCCAGGAACAAACTAGTGGCCTCCTTACTACACTTGGTTCCCAATTAGTGTCTGTTTGGGGAGGTTTAGGTATGGCCTTGCTGGAAGAAGTATGTCACTGGTGATAGGTTTTGAGGTTTCATAAGTCACTCACTAATCCAACTTTTTTTTCTCTCTTTCCTGCTTGTGGTTTAAGATGTGAGTTCTGGGCTTGCTGTTCAAGCCAGCCTGATGCCACCTTCCACTGGTTTGATGGTAATGGACTCTTATTCCTCTGGAAATGTAAGCCCAAATAAATTCTTCTTCTATTAGCTGCCTTGGTCATGGTGTTTTATCACAGTCATAGAAAAATAACACACCAACTAAGTATATTGTTTTCTGTCCACTTCTGCCTAAAACAGCTAAACCAGCTATACCTGAGTTTGTGGAAAACAGAAAGCCCTAAATAGGGAAATGAGAAAGTTTCTGATGCCCTTCTTTCTCTTCAGGCTTCCTGCCGGAATCATCCTGGACTGAAGAAGAGAACGGCTCCAAGTTCAGTTCAGTTAATCACTTGATGTAAACATGTTACTGATAAGAACAAGATGCTTTTAT